CAAGTACCCTATGCCGAAGTCCAAGTCCTACATGTTCGAGTTCTCATCATCCGAGCCTGAGTTCCCCATGCCCGGGTCCAAGTGCCCTAACTTTGTTTCTGAGTCCTACATGCTCGAGTCCAAGTTCATCATGTCCAAGTCTGAGTTCTCCATACCTTAGTCAAGTCCAAGTACTCCATGCCCAACTCTGAATTCCCCATGCCCAAGTCCATGCTGCCCATAGTCTCCTTACCTTTCTTGTTACAATTGGTCTTTGCGCCAATGGCTTGTGGATTATTTATAGAACGAACATAGTGTTGCCCATAGTGTTGCTTAACTTCCTGGCTACAGTTTCAAATAGTCACTTAATTTCTGGTCCGCGGTTGGTCTCTGCGCCAATTGGCACAATCCTCAAACTGTAACTTGAGCACAACCGACTCGCAAGGCCGGTCATGCAACGCTCAACCCTGGTCGGATGGGCACACCCAGCTGACGTGCCTGCAATGGCACAAAGACCAACTACATACCTAGGATATTAAAAATACTTCTTAGTTATGTGTGAACATACTATATTGGCCAAGTGTAACAGACTTTAATCTTCAATGTAAAAAAAAAGACTATAATCTTCAGTGTAAAAAAAGACTATCATCTCAAATGCGTATTGTATTTTAGTTAAATCCCACCGCGTGCTTATTCTTTCAAAAAGGAAAATAAAATGAAAAAGGCCACCTAAATGATAAATGGCGCTATAAACTGGAATATTCACCTTGGACACAGACATCATGTTTGTCGTAAGAGTACCAGTTTTGTCACTGCAAATAACTGTCGTGTCTACACAGAGGGCAAAGACCTGACAATTGCATTCAAGCCAGCCATTCTCTTGGTTGCAAGAGCTAAGCAAATAGAAGCAAAAAAGGATCAATGATATGTTATATTCACTTCAAGAAGGAACAACTCAGACCACTAAACTTGAGCATAAAATGAACAAAAAACTTAGAACATCAGTATAGGATTGATAATGCACAGTATCATGTTTCTAGGTTCTTAAACAGAGTCATGGCTGACACAGCTGCACATAACCGATTCTTTCCCTCCCAAAGTCAGTCGGGTAGAAATGACTAATTTTGTGGCAAGCAGTAGAAATTGTTCACAACATACACAAGGAAATGAAGTTCGGTACCTGCCTAATAGAGACAAAGCGATCTCGTTGTGTTACAATGTATAAAACCCCAATGCTTAGCTACTCCGCAATTGTTTAAACATGATTTACGAGGCGTTCCATACACTCTTTCAAACTTCCGAACTAGCACTTCCCATTTTAATATGACTCAATCTCCTGCATTACTTTAACTAACTGACTGAAAGAAACATCATAACATAACAAAAAATCATAAATTTGGAAATATTAATTATACCCCTACATTAACTGATTGAAATCAGACACTTTATACTGATATATCAACTGAATCCAATAAAATGCTTCGCTTGGCACTACTGGAAATCTATAAATTATTGTAAGGAAACTCACGTTGTTACTACAGCTGGGAGACCTTCTGGAATTGCCACAACAGCAAGGGCAACAGCAGCCTATTAAAAGAAAGCATAAGTATAGGTATGTATATTTTCTGAAAATTAAAGTTACGACACAATATTTAATAACGATTAAATGCAAGCAGTATAACTAGTCACAAAGGCATAAGGAAGTACCAAAATCAACTAATCCTCCAACTGGAAGTACAACTCATTCTAGTTTCAGGTACATAAAGTACAGAGTAATACATCCCTTCATTATTCACAAACATCATCATTTTTCTGGCAGTATGTGAGAAACCTTCATTTACCATTGAGAACGTGCACATTTACTATGCAAGGGTATAACTACAACACCAAAGTAATGAGTAAATAAGCCTCAAGGTTGTAGAAAAATCTATATTCAAAGAGAAGTTCATAGGTCTAAAAGCAGTTGGGAGTAGTAGAAATCGAAGTGTCTAATCGAAGGTAGATTATTGACAGCTCTATACCAAATGCATCTAGGTAGGTGGACTTAATGGACACAATTAAACATAATTATATGAACAAGGATCACATTAAAGATTTTAAGTCAGTCAACTTGATCTAAAATGAAATGAAATTTGATAGCATCAACCATATCTAAACAAAAGATAATTATATTCTCAGCCTGTTCCCCCTCCTCTCCCGAGCCAGAGCGAAAGAGACACAGCGGCTGTTCATCTGAAATGAAATTTGAAAAAAAAAGACTCAAAAGGCTCGTTGACTTGGCCCAACACGAGCCAGGAAAATGAGAAAGGACTCGCTGAGAGAGAGCTGAGAGCGTGCAGGAATGAGATTGGATGGACAGAAAAGTGATTGCGCACCAATCTGAAAACAGCTAGCTGTTATTTAGGAAAAGTGTAAAATATTGAAAACAATCATAGCGCTACAAGTTAACTAATCAAGCCCTATATGCAATATGCCCAGTAGAATAAGATGGGAACATACATGAATATCCAACATGTCAGTTTCCAACCGAAGATGTGTTGCAGCCTAACCAAGGTCTTCAAGATACCACAGTTGGTTGACAAGAACTTATGATCCAGCTTCAACATTATTGAAACTAACCTTCCAAAGAACAACTACCTCTTAGCGAATGGTGACCCAACATTTCTTTAGAAAATGGTAACCCAACAGCCAACATATATTTAAGACCAAAGTAAGAGTTTCAACTGGGAGAGCATAGGACTACATATTTTCGAATTTTCAAGTGGATCATAATAATGTTATACCATATCCCATAGATTTATGCGTTCGGCAGGAATTTCAAAACGAAGCAGTGATAAATGATAGATTCAAATGACATTTGATATAATCAAGGGCAGCATTTTTTTCGTACTAAGAACTTACAAGTTGAGAACCATAGCTAGATAACTAAGAAGATAAAAGAAATAAACACCTTGATCAGGAATTGAGTTATCTTGCCTGCACAACACAATACAGGTGTAACACGGCCTGCTGATTCAGCAACATGTTCTCATCCAAATGTTGACCAAAGTGGAGTGACATAAGCAGAAAAAAGCTGCAGAACACACTCTCATATATGGAGAAAGGCAATGCCCATGTACAACGAAAATTGATAAAGATTAGTGAAAACCAATACAACCTTCTGAGCGAACAAATCGATCTTTCTTATTCAATAACGAAAGGTTGCTCTCTTCAGATTTGGCAGCTGACTTAATAATATCCACAATAGGTTCGTCATTCTAATCAGCAACAGTAGAAACAGATAGCTTCTTCTTGAAGACTAGTTTGAACCGGACATCAAATCCATGTTCATGACTTCGATTACTAGTTTGAACCAGACATCAAATCCATGTTCATGTCTCCAATTACTATTTTTAATCAGACATCAAATCCATGTCCATGACTCCAATTACTTTATCCCAAAAGAGTGTTGTCAATAGCGTTAGAAATGTGGAAGACTAGTGGATGTCATGTATTAAGGGAGGTCCAACGGACAAATATAAAGGAGAACAAAAGATGAACACAAGAAACACACTCGAAAATAAAGCTGTCGAGTGTTGTAAGTGCATGCAACAGGAGTGCAATACTATTAGGTAGGTGCTTATACTGAAACAGTTTCTCTTATTCCTCACAAACTTTTTACTATATACTGTTACTCTCTTCCCCTTGTTTCATCATCTACTGCTCACACATCATGGTCCAAATACCAATTGAAAACGAAGAATCTGTATGGATAATGTAGCCCTATATAACATTGCTCCTTGTCTCGTAGAACTGTTAGATGATTAGAAGGCGCTAAACATAGGGAAGTCAAATAGCTTGACAAAAACATATAACTGGACCGCTTAATCCAAAAAAAAACACGGAATTATAAATTACACTTACGAGATGCAGCAAGCACAGAACTGAGGCAGAGTGCTCTGGGCACTGGCATCTCAGTGAACACCATGAACACGTCCCTGGGACAGGAGCCAGTTGTGGATCACCACCAGTGCAGTTTCCAACTTTCCGTGTAGGGACAGTGAGGTGGTTATGGACCCGAAGCATGGCACAGGCCTCCTGGACAGTGCACAGGCTTCAGGAGGCAGGGAAATGTTAAGGCCTCATGAAAGAGCTTGGAGGCATAGGGTAGAGAGTACAGTGAGAGAATAGGACCTGAAAGAAGGGAATTGCAATAGAAATATCTAAACACAAAGTATTCGATCTGATGCTACAGTGTTTGAAATGATAGAAAATACTAATAGTGTTGGTGAAAGCCTCAAAAAAATGGATGCGATGAGAAGACTTTGTATGGTAATCAGCTGTGCATTAATAAAAGAAATCATATGACAAACCTTACACTTATAGACCAAATTTGCTACACAAATAAATATCGATTTGAAAATAAAGTAAAAGAAAGAGTCAAGACAAACTCGAAAGGCACATAAGAGCTGAGCTGCGGAGCAGAGGTACATAGCTTGTGAATGGATAATGCATACAACGCGCTACTTAGCACAGAAAAACCATAAGTAAGAAGCACAATATTTGACTGCAAGAAATTAATTACATCGAAAGAATCCTACTTACAAAGTTTGGAGTTGGTGGTAAGTTCACTCTCCCATCACTATTACTCATATACTAAAATATATATGGGGCTAACAACTTACAAATGATTTAGCTACAATCATCCCTGTTACTTATACGATAATATACGGGAACCAACAACTTACAAATGAGTTAGCTACAATCATCCCCACAAGAGGGGAGACCACCCATGCAAAAGACGTTGAATAAATAAAACACACCATTACAATCATACGCTGAATAACAATTTTAAAAGAAAGAATGAATAAAACGCTCTTACTCTCATAGGAACCAAAGCTCCACTCTAGAATCTGCATGGATAATGTTGTCCTATCGAATATCTCAGGGAGTTGTGCAGTAATATGAAATACAACATTCTATAAGCAACTTGCACCGGAGAAAACTAGATGGTTGCAGGTCAAGCACAAACATGAGAAAACTCAGCCAAAAACTAGTTTAACCGGAGCAGCAGGTGACAAAGGAGAAACCCCATCCATGATGTGCTTCAGTGTGTTGTCCTTCTCCTGGTCAGTCCAGGAATGTTGCTGCGTCACCAACTCCCAGTCCCAGTGCCCCTTGTTGCGAGCATGCCCGTTCTTGAAGATGGAGACCTGGCGCAACAATGTGCATACTCCCACTACAAACTTGACAAGGTAAATCTGCCTCTCTGTTCCCTCGTAACCAACCATCACAAACTCTTCCAGGTGCTGGTGACGGAGAAGCGTGGTTGGTTTCCAGCGTATGTTGTCACTGGGCTCATCTTCTGTGCAAGTGGCGGCAATGTGAAGGTGGAGGACCTCCAGGGAAGGCGCCGTCTCAAGCAGGAGGCGGGGCCATGAGACGTCCCAGGACGAAGGCACGTCGGCGACCAGCAACCGCCTCAGGTTAGGCAACAACATCGTCGTCGACGGGGACGGCACGATCCATCTGTAAGGTCCACTGATCCTGACAATCAGACTCGATATTTCTGGCATGTTTTCGAGAAGCGACTCATGGTCTATCTTCCAGTGTCGCTTCAGGTATTCGCGAAATCCTTGCATTGTCACGCCGAGGCATGAGGTGAGGTTAAATTTTCTGAGACAAGGGAAGGAGGCGGACTCGAGGAACACCGTAGGTCCCAGGGAGAGGGAGGCTAGGCTCTCGAGATTGGGCAGAGCCCTTAGACGTAACTGTGTGAATCTGCAGTCATCCACAACGAGCTCCTTGATTTTTGACATGGGGGCGTCCACGAATATCACCCCGCCGCTGCACCGGCAGGAGATGAGATGCAGCACCTGCAGCTGCTGGCAAGAGATGAAGACCCCCTGGTAGGTTGCCACGGGCGTCGATTTAGGTATGTCCTGCAGGACGAGCCTAGTGAGCGCACCGTACTCGTGCAGCGGCGGGATCATGCAGCCACCAAGCTTGAGGCTTTGCAGGCGTGACGCACTGGGCTCCTTGCAGAGGCCATGGCTGGCGAAGGTGTGGACTGCGCCTCGTCGCCAGAAAATTGGCTTAGCAACAACTTGGAGGTCATCCACCCCACAAGCATCCATGGCCTCGACTATAAGCCGATTCATGCATTCGGTGCTTTGTGGGGTGACGAAGAACTCGAGCCTCAGCCTACTGATCCTCCTCCGGCGGCCGGCGGTTCCAGCGTCCAAGAAGCTCTGGACGGACCTGGTCAAAGCGCGCATGGCGCGATGCTCGTACCTCCTGATGTTGGGCATCAGCTCTCTTGACACTTGACGCAGGTCGTACTGGAAACCACCACCTTTCCCGACGACGCCGTGGAGCTGGACCCAGCGGTGGTAGCGCGGCGGGAGCATCGCGTCGACACTCAAGTCGAGGATGGGGAGCTCGCCGCGGAGGCAAGCCCAGCGCCTGGAGAGCGCCGTGGTGCCGACCGCCGTCCGGATGTCGAGGCGGCGCAGGACCAAAAGGAGGAGATCGTCGGAGAGGGCGCTGATCCGGTCCGGACGCCGCCGGCGACCCATCGCGGTCCTGGCCATGAGTGAGCTACCTCCACCTGCGCCACGAATCGAGTAGCGGCGACCAGGAAACGGAGTAGAAACAGGTCCTTCGGGGATGGAGCGCCGCCGGCAAGAAGGAGGGTGGGATCTGAGGACGGAGCGCCGCCGGCAAGAAGAAGAAGAAGGAGGGTGGGATCTGGGGACGGAGCGCCGCCGGCAAAAAGGAGGGTGGGATCTGGGGTGTGCGGGGGCTGGAATCCAGAAAAACGAGACCACTGGAAACCTGAGCGTTCTCAGCGATTTGGGCTTCTTGGCCGTCCGATCTTTTTGCTTGATGGAGTTCCGGCCGGCCGATCGAGCCGCTGGAAGACCTCGTCCGTCCGATCGAATCCTGCCCCACTGTAGCGTCCCTGTAGCATGGTTGATCCCATCTGGCTCGCGGTGTCGCTCGCTCCGTCCATTCGACCGAGGCTCGCTGGGACCCCACGCGTGTGGGCCGTGGCTGTCACCGGTTGTGGCTAGGGAGGCGCCCTGTGTAAGTCTTTTGCGGTCAAAATATCGTGCCACCGCCAGTAGTTTTGCCACCCCGCAAAGGGCATTTGCGAGATTTCGCGTGCGTGCCCGTGCGTGGCGTCGTGTGGGTGGCTGTGTTTGGCATAGGAGCGAGGAGGTCCCCGATTGGGTGAGAACCCTAGCCAATTATCCCCGTCGCGCCCCTCTCCCCTTCTCTACCGCAGCCACCGCTGCTATGCTCTCCATCCAAACCCTAACCCGTGCTCGCCTCCCTGCCCCCCGTCGTCGTCTCCTTCGCCGCTGGGAGCTCAGCCCGGGTGGTTGTCGCGGGGTTCCTGGCGGGCTTCCTCCTCGGCCTGCTCGCGCTCGCGGAGGCCGAGGCGGCCGTGCCGCCTCTGTCGCCGGCAGGAGGGGGCCCCTGCAGCCACCGCGCAGCCCGACGAACAGGAGCTCCCCGGTGTGGTTCCCTCGACGCAGGGATACTTCCTCCGTCCACTGCCTTCTTTGTGTCGACGCGTGCTTCCGCACGGCCTGCCTCGGCGCAGCCATCGACTGCTACACCGATGCGAGCACGCACCCCCCAAAACCTCCTCCTTCCTGCCCCAATCCCCTTCTTCCTGGTCGACGGCTCGATCCGTGGAATCCCAGGCGATTGATTGATTGGTTGATTGGTTGATTGGCTCGTTTGTTGGTTTCCAGGCAATTGCGCTCAGCCCCTGCGTCGTCGTCTACTGGGTGAACCAGGGCCTCTGCCACTTCCGTCGCAAGGACTGGGCCAGGGTCGAGGAGGACAGCAGGAGGGCGCTCGCGCTCGACGACACCTCCATCAGGGTGACTGACACGGATTATTATTCCTCATTTTTCAGTTGATGCCACCATTAATTGGTTCATGTATGAGGAATTGGGTCGTATATTTGTAAAATGTGCAGAGGTTTCAGAGCTTCATTTGTTCTTGCTTCTGTTACTGATGCGGGGACACTATTTGCTAGGATGTGCGCTGTTCGAGAAGGGGGGCTGCGCTTTGGCTGTCCAAGGAATTCAACAAGGTCTGTCGTTCATGAATCCTCTTATACATTATGAACCAGTCTCTGTATCTTCAGATACAACTGTAGTCTTACGTGTAGTATCTAAGGCCATGCTTCCCTGTTTATTTGTGGAGCCTGTATGTTTCCACCGCATGTGGCCCTTCTTGTCCTCCCTTTTTTTCGTTCTTCTGAACTTCTCGACAACCCTTGTGTGTGTGAGTTGTAGTCTAGCGCATCAATGGGGCGATGCTATCTGCGTGTTCATGAATGTCATTCAATGTAAAATGCAGATTTTCAGAAAAAAAAACAAAGATTGAGAGAAGCATATTTAGGCCTGAAACTTTTATCTTGCCAAAACTTCTGTGCATATAGCGTCTCTTTGATTATTTTTTCTGCTTCTAGGAGATGATGAGGGTTCTGAACTTGATCACCATCAGCATAGCTAGGCATGGTAGCTGGATTAACCATTGGATGAAGTATTCAGTTTCATTCTTAATTGCTTACCATTTACAGTATAGTAGATATGAGAAGAGGTGAACCAAATCGTCCATAGACAAAAGCTATGTTTTCTGATTAGTTTAATTAAATGAATGACATATTGATTTTGCGTTTTGTTTGTTTGACAAACACGACGGTAGCGGAGAAGTGGAAGAGCGTCAATTAGGTCCAACTGTGGTATGCGCCAGACTGAACCACCGTGTATGGTTCCTTACCGGAAGTACTTGATCAATGGTACAAAATAAATTTCTTGAATGGATTTATTATGGAGAATAAAATAAGAATATTATGGTTTAAAGCCACCCTTCTTGTGGATTGACTGATAAATCCATATAATATTTTGGGAAAAAGTTAAATCTTTATATGTTGTGTACTTGCAGTCTAATCTTTAAATCCTCAATTATATGGAAGTGATGGTACATTTCAGTTCAGTGTGTTAACCATTGACATCATCTGTTGAATCCATCGTGGTCGTGTCGCTTCTATAGAACTAGAGCATTCCCTTTTGTGCCCTGCATTCTTCTTCTTTTTTCTTTTTTAACACAGAAGCGGTGATTATAGTGACAAGCTTGTGTTGGGGTTCATGTACGCTTATGCAGGTACTTAGGTATTGGGTTGCAGGATCAAGATTAGCGCTCATTCCCACCTTGGTTTTCAAATGAGCTTGGCTTTCAAACCTGCGAGGTTTAGAATTTCCTATTGAATTTACTTTTGTTTTTTGCCAGAGGAAATTGTCATATTTTACCTTGGAGCATCTCTGATTGAACACTATTTACATCTAATTTGTTTGTCTGTACTTTGCAGGAACTCGCTACTTCAATTATTTATATTGTTTAATTAATTGGGTGTGACAATAGGTCGTACACTATAGACATTTTCCATTTACATCACAGATTCTTCCTTCTAACCTACTCATCTCTACCTATACACAGCTAACTACAGTGTTGGTATTGGGGATAATTACTGGAGTAACGGATGCTTAATTCCTCTTTGTGCAATTGTGTGTTCTTAGTGTAGATGTATGTTCTTAGTGTAGAATATACCTTTGTCTAGAAGCGGTCACGTTTCTAATTTCTTCATTCTAATAATCATGTTTTATACTGCCACTGTGCAATGTACTCTCTCTTTCTCCCACTGATTCTATCTAGAGAGCAGTCTATCGATAATCTTCAAGGCCAGCACTACCACATGTTTCATGTTGTCGGTGTACTATATATTACCTGGTCATGTGACTTGCTAATGCAAGATATAGTTATTGCTAGATTTAATTTGGTTCCTACCATGCGCAAGTCAACATTTACCGATCTGCAAGTTTAAATCATGGCAATGTTCTATGCTCATGAAATTCACCCTTGGCAGGTATTCTTGGTAATGGTAAGGAGGTGTCGTCCAGTACAGATTATTGGATTTATGACACATTCACTCCATCATAGAGACCCAAGATCCTTCACAAGCCATGTTAATCAGGTATCTCCTTTTTATTCCTGTAGGTTTTGTTTCGTACAACCTCTGTTTGCATTACAACTTCAAAATAGATAGGATGTGGTATAATTACAACCTCCTTCTCTTATCTTTTGTGTGTGTGTGCTCAGGAGTCTTCTCTTCTCCATGGACGAACATCGACAGGCAATGGTAAGCCATCTCAAGGGAGGGGATTCTCAAGTCTCCCCACTTCCAATCCATGGACACCATCCACAAGGACCAAGATGACGACGACCAGGAAGGAAGGATCCCACGCCCGACCCCGGCGATGGTGGTTCTGTTTGTGCATCAGCATCGACCACAACCTCCCTCTCTGGTGAGTGAGGCCATCTCCTACCTCTGGCTCCCTCTGTTTCCCTTGTGCTGCTCTAGGTAGGTAGTACCATATTCTCTGTTTCATGGCTATGTGTGAGTTATTTAGTCAGTGCTTGATGTGCTTCTGTGCTGGATTGAGTCTAATTAGCTACTGCTCATTATTGTAAGATTATATTATTGTCTCATATCATGTGACAGGTTATTTTCTCTCTCTACTGTCACCTCCAGATTACTTACTTGTTTGTTTGATATATCGGAGCTGCAGGCACCCTCCGTGGATGAGGACGACGACCAGGGCATCCATGTTCGAGAGCTCAACGGCTCCTGGGGTAAGCAGCACCCCCAAATGGTTGCTTTGTTTTTCAAAGCCTTCTTTTTTGTTTGTGTGGGCTGGAAATGTGTGAACTTTATATGGCACAAGGGTGTGCATTCACTGACGAATCATTATATCTTCCACATGGACTGTTTAGTTCCTTTTGATATGTTGAGTGTTACTTTGAAGTCTTATATCTTCGATATTATGAATGTTTGAAGTCTGAACATCATATGTATGACGATGTGTATATTTTAAAAGTAGTGTGTTCGTGCATATATATTTTGAAGCTGGTTACTCTAATAATTTGTTCTTTGTGTACCATATGTTGGTTACTCTAATAATTTGTTCTTTGTGTACCATATGTTATCTTTTCTCCTCTTGTTGATATTCATGTCAAACTGAACAAAATACTAACTGTTGCGATTTGAGCTGGTTTTTCCTTATTATTTATCCTTATATTTCCCTCCACAGTTATGTGTTATCACAATACAAGCATAAATCTATGATGGTATAAACCAAGCATTCATGTTATAAGATGGTTCATTCTCCGCAAGTCATGGTAATTAAGTTTGCCTTTGTAGTGTTTGTTGGGGAACGTAGTAATTTCAAAAAAATTCCTACGCACACGCAAGATCATGGTGATGGCATAGCAACGAGAGAGGAAAGTATTGTCCACGTACCCTCGTAGACCGTAAGCGGAAGCGTTATGACAACGCGGTTGATGTAGTCGTACGTCTTCACGATCCGACCGATCCAAGTACCGAACGTACGGCACCTCCGAGTTCAGCACACGTTCAGCTCGATGACGATCTCCGGGCTCCGATCCAGCAAAGCGTCAGGGATGAGTTCCGTCAGCACAACGGCGTGGTGACGATGATGACGTTCTACCG